GCGCGTCGAGCTGCAAAAGTTCAGATTTTCTAACTTCAGCGATTTGCACCTCAGCGTGTCGAATGCTCAGATCATTCAAATCGTTCAAATCGCGCTGCTCTAATTGCGCTTGAGGCGCCGCAGAACTTCCCGACGTTGCTTGAAGCGCGTCCACCATAGACTTTGTATGTAAACCTGATGCTCTTGATGCTGAAATCGCGTTCGGTGTGAACGCAGCATGACCGTATCGACACTACACCTAAGTGGCACTAGTGGCAAAGGGACATTAGAGACCTCTTTGTACTACTTAGACCACTGCCTGGCTCTGAGCAGTCAAAGGACAATAATTCTTGGGGACTCCTTTATGGATCCTGAGAAGCTCAAAACACTGAGCGTTTCTAACCTTGTGTCCTTCATCGAAGGGACGAGAAGGTTTGAATAACGACCAGAGTCTTTTTGGGGAGAGCAATGGGCCCACTTAGGAGGCCTCCGCTTATATGAGTTCTTTATCCACACCCACTCACCATAACTACAGTGTGTGTGTAACGTTAATAACACTCTTTCCCCAAGGAAAGCCGCAATATCATTCAAACTTAATGTCATTTCTTTTTTGCTTGTAAATATTCAGATTTCTACAGCCACACATTCATCGTCTGCTTTCATTTTTCTAGGCAAGTCTGACAGTGTCGTGGATTATTTTGCGTTTCATGGGGGACGTGCCAGAACCAAAATCATCTGACTCTATATCGCAAATCTCGAGCACCACTGCCCAAAGCACAATCTCCCAAATTCTGCCTCACAGTAAGGGCCGGAGGCTGAGCAGCCTGGTGGGATTGGACCAGGTAATTTTTATTTTATTATTTAAAAAATAACTAAGTGTGTCCAGTAACAGTCATAACCTCACATCTAATTATTATGCATTTGTGTTCACAGAAAATACTGCGGAGGAAGAAAAAAAACAGCAGCGCAAACAGAAAAGCGTCAGCTATTCCTGAAGAGGTTACAATCCTAAACAATCAATCGTTCATTTTAAGTTGATTCATATTATGTCAGGGGTGACGATTGTTTTTATTGTCATCATCTTAAACAGCCAGAGAACTTCACAGATAATGAAGACCTTTTGATTGGAGAGGGACCGACGCTACAGCGACCTCTTACAGCCTTGGAAAAATTGCACATCATTGTTGGATATGCTTTGTCAAGACCAGGCATACGGTACAGAGTTTATGAAAAGTCTTTAGTGTCACAGAAATAATCAGAATTAACTTGCAAATACGTTAATCCCGTTTTACTGTGTTTTTAAATTCTCTTTCCTGTTTTCCTAAATATGCAGAGATGAAATCTACTGTCAGATCTGTAAGCAGCTGGTCAACAACAGGAACAAGAGGAGCCGCATACAAGGCTGGATTCTCCTCTCTCTGTGTCTCGGGATCTTCCCTCCATCAGACCTCTTCAAGAAGGTCAGTTTTATTTTTAGTAAAGCTAAAATTTGAGTTTATATGTATTATCTTCTTTAATTTGATATTTATATTCAGTGCAACAGTCAATGCTCTCAGTTTGCTCATATACAGGCAGTACTGAAAAACACTTTTTATAACATCTATTTTTGATTTAAAGTCCTAAAACAGAGGTCTTCAACCCTGTTCTTCAGGACCCACTGTCCTGCATGTACGAGCTGTTTTCCTGCTTCGGCACACCTGATTCAAATAGTTCAATTAATGTCATCAAGTGCAGCAGAAGCCGATCAGTCAATCATTGTTTCAGTCAGGTGTGTTGAAGCAGGGAAACATTTAAAACAGGCAGGACAGTGGGTGGGTCCTGCCTTCAAATAGAACTATTTCTGTAAAGATACTAATTTGTGACTCTTTAAATCAGCTGTTTTTGGCAATAACAGTCAAATACTTGAAGGTACCCAATCAAACTTCAGTCAGTTATTAAAGGGGCAATATCATGTAAAATCTATTTTTTATTAGTTTTATATCATTTTATAATGTTATCCTCTCATCAAAAACATGCCCAGATGCCAAGTAAACTACGCTGTGCTTTCGTATCACAGTGTGCACGTAATATTGCCCCTTTAAAGGGCCAGTATTATGTGTTTCTCAGGCATACATTTAATTACCATACCATAATAAAGTATCTATGTCACCTTTAGCTGTTATTAAAATGCTGTTTTTATCTTTAAATAGAAAATAAACTTATCTTCTCATCACTTCCTCTTCTAAACGTCTTGAAATTGGCCTCTGTCTCTTTAAGAACCTCCTTCCGCTTCTGTCCCGCCCATTTCATTGCGGTGGGGGTGGGGGTCGCGCACGTGGGGTGTTTCGCGCATGCGCTATGATGCAGTTTATTTGGCATCTGAAAATACATTTCCTCAAAGGTATTTTGTATCTGAAAAGAGCTTCACTGAGTGAGCAGTAGTGTTAAGAGCAGCAGACAGTTAAGTTTCACTTTCACTTTGCTTTGTTACTGCCGAGAGCCTGCAGGAGTCATGGGCGGGGTRTGTGGGGTGGGGGGTGGGGAGGTGTGCTCTGTGATGAGGAAGTTCGGCTTAAAGACACAGGGGCGTTTCTGGTCCCCACTTGTCGTTTTGCTCCTCAGCATGGCTGCCTAAAAACGCTGCAGGATTTCTCAAACATACATGAATGAGTCAGAGCAAGGCTTTGGATATGTTTTTTATGAGAGTATAACATTATAACATGATATAAAATTTAAAAAAAGTTGATTTTACATGATATTGCCTCTTTAAATAAAAATAACTTTATTTTACCACAATGTTCTATAAGAAAATCAGGTCATTCAGTTTTAGGAATGTTCTTTACCTGCTTCTAATTTCCTGGTGAAAGCACATCTATCGCCCATCTCCAGCAGTCACTCTGTGAGAGGCGAGGGACACCCTGGACATGTCTCAAGTCCATCACAGGGACATATAGAGACAAATGAGACAAACAACCATTTAGACTTTCACTCACACCTAGGAACAATTGAAAGTTGGCTGCAACAATACATGTATCTGTATTGAACCGTACAATACAGTGCTCTAGGTCCAATACACACTATGTATGGAACAATACAGATGTTTTAAATTTATTTTATCAGCTTGTCTTCTGAAGATACTGTGTTGAAGGATCAGTGAATCTGTGTTCGACTACTCCACCTAGACTGCATTATCAAGCGCAGATCCACTGAGAAACCTGCTGTTTCAGCAACATTTAATTTAAAAACTGTACTTTTGAGGTTAAACAAATATTCAGAATTAATTTCAATAAATTACTAATTAAGAAGAGCATGGAAATTTCTCTATTTTTTATATAAAAAAATATCAATCCGTAACACTAAAGTATCGAACCAAATTGAATCGTGACTTTTCTGCATCGTTGCACCTCTAAAATGAACCTAACTTACAAGTTTCTGGTCTGTGGGAGGAAACCAGAGGACCTGGAGAAAACCTGGGCTTGCACAAGAGTAACGTGTTCTCAGAAAAGCCCCAGACCACAACGCGATCCTGCAACCTCTTTTGCTGAGAGGCAACAGCTTAAAGCACTGCCCCACCATGCCGCCTGATACTATCTATATTGGAGCTGTACTATTAGTTATGTTTAATCTGCTAAGAGACATCTTGTTTGTGGTATTTGATATCATGCTTTCTTTTCCACTTTCTTTTCAGTATTTGGAAAAATTTCTTCAAAGAGGCCCAGAAGGTTACAATGAATATTGTACGAAGCGCCTGCGTCGCATTATTGCTAAAGGAGAGAGAACTGAGCTGCCCTGCTGGATCGAACTACAGGTAAAAACTCACATGGGCTCTGCTGAAACATGATGCTTACCTCACAAATTAGTTGTCTCAGCAGCAATTCTCTTTTTTCAGGATATTTCTTTTTAAATTCTTGTCATTAAAACCGTTGACCTTCACCCTTACAGGCTGCCAACAAGAAGGAGCCCATTGATGCATCTGTGACACTGATGAACAATAACTCAGTCAGTGTCCATTTAGATTCAGTCTCCACTTCTGCTGATATCTGCCAGGCTGTGGCGGACAAGATTGGACTCAAAGACACCTACGGGTTCTCGCTGTACATCAACTTCCACGAGAAGGTGGGATGTGGATCTTTGTTAGGTCACACTTTCATAGAAAAACTATGTCACTACATAAGTGGCTTCTTGGTATTTTATTGGTCATTTTGTTCGCAGGTGTGGTCTCTGGGCAACTGTGGGAAGCACGTGTTGGATGCAGTGTCTCAGTGCGAGCAGGAGATGAGGAGGCAGGACAAGGAGGAGAAGGACACTCCCTGGAGCCTCTCCATCCGCAAGGAAATCTTCTCCCCGTGGCACGACTCCTTGCTGGACCACGTCAGCACAGAACTCATCTACAGGCAGCTCATCAAGGGCATCAAGTCTGAGGATTACATCAGTGAGAAGGTCAGGCTCCAGGAAAATAAGCTTTTATATGTACAAACTTTTACATTTTTCTTCAAATAAAAGGTTATAGAAAAGAGCCTTAGTTTCTTTTTGGGAGGATTTTTTTGTAATTTTAACCTTGTTTTCTACAGTCGAAATGTTTGACCATCTTCCATATGCCTTTGTGAAATGTTACACTCAAAAAAACTTTAAAAAAATAAAACTGGCATAAATTATGCCATTCAGTTTGTATAAAAGGGGTGTTATACAATATTTCTAATGGTTGTAGTTTTGGTGGTAACGCTTTCTTTTACGGTACCCTTATTACCATATAATTACAAGGTAATATAAAAAGTAATTTAATGTAATTACTACCTTAATACCATGTAATTACATGGTAATTAGGGTACAATTTTACTATGTAATTAATTGTCTGCAGTAATGTAGCGCTTACCTGGTAATGTATTACAATTCACTATGTAATACCTAACTAATTTGGACAGTTTTAAAGTTATATTTTATTGCAATTAACCACTAACCCCAAAATTTTGTTGCATTCTTTTGTTTATAAATATAATGTTGAGTTACTATTGAATCGTAATTTGATTAAAGGTAGTTTTACTAACAGTTTGTACCCTAATTACCATGTAATTATATGGCAATAATATAGTAATTACATTTAATTACAATTTTTTTATTACCTTGTAATTACATGGTAATAAGGGTACTGTAAAAGAAAGCGTTACCGTTTCAGTAGGTAAAACTTTAGACAAAACATTCAATTAAAAGTCAATTCATGGCCGTTCCACAAAGTTTTGTTTTATTACAATTTTTTAAAAATATTCAATAATGAATTAACCAAAAATTGTGAATATGCTCAAATGCCTCGAAGTCATATCCACTTCAGGTGAAATGTCTGGTTTTATTGTTTAATTTAGTTTGTCCTTTTTCAGATTTGCAAATTAGCTTCCGGCTAGAAAAGCCCTATGACAGAGTAAAGATTGCTTTGTTTTAACATGTAACCTTGCTTTTTTATGCTTGCTTAGATAAATTAAAACTAACAAAAATAAATAAATAAAGTATTTTTATGAACTCAATCTTTCAGGAGGATGAATACATCAAGCTGGCTGCGATGCATTATTACATCCAGTTTGGCTCAGAGCTCAACAAAGACAATGTGAGGCAGGTGGTTCTGGATTGCATCACCACTACACGCATCGAGAACAAATCTTTGACCAAATGGATCGAACTCATCACCTCAGCTCTCTCACAGGTAGACAGAACACACTGCTATGGCTTATAGACATTAGCTTATGCATGTTTAATTGCATCTAAAGATGGTGTAACTTTTTAAATGTAATAGTTGTGGCATATTGTGAGCAGACTGAAGCTGAAGCCTTTGTTCTTGCAGAAGTTGTACATCAACGGGAACCAGAGAGCAGAGCGAGTCAAAGGAGAGCTGGTTGACATTGCCCGGCAGAAATGGCCCCTGGACTTTTCAAAGTTTTTTGAGGTTACAATGATATCAGGTCAGTCGAGATGAAGCTGTTTTCACCTTTGGGGGTTTGTTTTTCTCGTTACAGAAGAGTTGTGAAATGAATCGGTCTCGATGTGACTGTGCCATGTTCATGTCTAGTTTTTCGGTTAACTCAGAACTGCTTTAAAAAAGCATATCAATTGTTTTTGTTTATCTACAGGACCTCCTCTGCCCAAAAGCAGGTTTATTGTGGCTGTAAATGGCAACGGCATTGTCTTCATGGAGAGAAAAGAGAAGAAACTCCTTGACATTCCTTACATCGAGGTTAAGAAAGTCACCATGACGAGGTACGACCGTTTCTTTATTTTATCTCCACCCTTCTAAAACGTTTCATCTCTGCTCATAAAAAAAACATAAACTTTGGATGTTTGTTCAGTAACAATCAGCAGTCCATGAGTTTGAGCACAGTCAGAGGAGAGTACACATTCAGGTGTGCGGAAGCTGCCGACATGACTAATCTGATGGTGTTCAACGTGGAGGGGCTGAGACAGCGCTCAGAATTTGCGCTGGTGCAGCAGGACGTCAGTAAACAAGGTCTGTAGTGTGTACAGTCAGATGGAGGATAAAATATTTACATTAACTGCTGCCGTTCTAACCGCCTGCCTCTGTTTGCCTCTACAGATGACCCCATGTTTCTGATCTGTAAACGGGGTGACCTGCTGCTGGTGGACAAAGACGGACAACAGGCACCGGATGAGAAATGGATCAGAGCTACCAACCAGCGGACCAACAGCAGCGGTGCTGTCTATAAGAATAATGTGCAGTTTCTACCAACTCTTACTAAACCAACGGAAGAAGTGCTGGTACAGTTCAATTTATATCCCATTGAAAATGTTTTTTTATTTAAACTAAAAAAAAAAAAAAAACCTTCCGGTGAAATGCAGTGTCTGAAACAGGACATCAGCATTGAGAATCAGGTCATTTAAACATAAAAATGGGTGTTTTAACAAATGTTTTGTAGTTTCTGAGCAAAAGTTGTTCTTGGTTAATTTACTGTAAATTACTGTTTTCAAAAGCTTCTGCCAGAGGAAGTTTTCCATTGAGAGTTAAGGCTGGGTTAAAGTGGCACTTTGGGTACTCGAGCAGGGTGACTCGCACCCTCGCCAGCGGTGGAGATCTTTATACCTGACGTTGTGCTGTTGTAGTATTCTCTGAATGGACACGTAGAAGTACACTTTATAACTTGTGAAAATATTGTAAGTAGGAGAGCAAAAGCTTGAAAAACTATTTGAATGGTGTGCAGCGTGCACAGGCTTTGAGGAGCTACAAAAATTCGGAAGTGCAGGACCACACGCCGGGACACCAGGCGTGGCCAACGCACAGGGGCGGGGACGGCGCGTCACCTATAAACCTTGCTTTGTGTTGATTGTGTTGCAGCAGCAGACTGAGCTCCACCATGCCACAGTGTTCAGCCTTGTCTGAACTGGTTCTGACAAAGATGTGTTTGTGCATTTCTTTCAGGTTTCAACAGACAACATGAGTCACATGCTGCCATGTTGCTCTCTTAATTCTTATCATTGACATTCCACAGCCATATTTGGGTCAATATATTGTCACCAGGCTGACATTGTAAATAAGAAGTTATTCTTAATGTTTTGCCTGGTAAAATAAAGGCTAAATACAAACAAACAAGTAAATAAACAAATAAATAAGTGACACACTTATGAACAAAACGTGTGACAGTTTTCACCCTCAGCTGTTAACATTAACATTGATCAATAACATTTATAGACCTCAGTTAGTGTTTCTAAATTTAGCCTATAAATTTAGCAAGTGCTAATCCACTAATTTTAAAATTAGCAAAAGCCCTAAAGCACTAATCAGGAAATTAGTTCCCCTATTAGGGCTTTAGGGGAACTGTGCCCACCCCTGCCTATATATAAAAGTAGGAGTAATGGCAGTTTGTGTAATTAAGCAGGATAGATATCAGCAATGACCTTGGGAAAGCAGATGTTACCTATTAATCTGGGTAGGGTTAAAGGTTATTTCCCAGAAAAAAAAATTGAAGTCCACCATTCTACAGAGAGATTATACAGAGATTATACAGAAGTGGGAAACATTTAGGACAGATGCCATCAAATTCACCTTGAGGTCAGACTGCAATGCTCAAAGAAATTGCAAAAAATAAAATATATATATAAAAAAAGATCTCAAAATGACATTCTGTTGGCTTTAACCACCAGTTAAATGGTAAAAAGAAGAACAAGTATGACTTGTTTGAAAAAGTTGCAGGAGGAAGCCTCTTCTCTCTAAAAAGAACATTGCAGTATGACTAAGGTGTGTAAAGTTTTAACTGAACAAACCACATAACTTCTGGAACAAAGTCCTTTTAACAGATGAGACCAAAAGAAAGATGTTTGTCTGTAATGAGCAGCACGAGTTGGAGAAATCCAAACAAAGCTCATCAGAACAAACACTTCACACTGTGTGTTAAGTATGGTGTTGAACGGTTAATGTTTCAGGACTTGGGCAACTTGCTGTCATTGGGATGACCATGACCACTTCTTTAGACCAAAGAACTCTAGAACCAATAAGACTATTTGTCTGATAGTTGAGGCAATGATGCAACAGAACGATATCTCCAAACGCAACAGTTAATCTACAACAGAACGGCTGAAAAGGAAAAGAATCAAAGTATTTCAATGGTCCAGTCATTGTCCAGACTGCAACTTGATTGAAATTCTGTGGTGGAACCCTAAGATAGCTGAACAGAAACAAATGTATTCAAGCTTCAGTGGACTGTAACAATGTTGTAAAGAAGAGCGCACTAAGACTTCACCACAACCATGTGAGAGACTGATAAATTCATAAAGAAAACGACTACAGGGAGTTTTTGATGATAAAAGTGGTTCTACAAGATATGGAATCATGTGATGTTTTCTTTAATAAATTATGACATTACTGTTGATTGTCTTAGTTTTAAATTCAATTTGCCTCGCAGCAAAAAGTCCTGAGTTCGATTCCCAGATTGCATCTGGGGTCTTTCTGTATGGAGAGTTCTCCTTGTGGTTGTGTGGGTTTTCTCTGGGTACTCCGTTTTCCCCACCCCCCAAAAACATGTACAATAGGTTGCCTTCAGGCCCAGGCCTCCCTTGAAAAAGAGATATGAGATCAATGGGACTTGACTGGATAAACAACGGAAAAATAAAAATAAAAAAATAATTATTTTAGAACATTATACACTGACACAAACTGTGTCTTTATGTGTATATAGTTAATGCTGCAAATATGTGCAATTATAAAACTGCTGCACTGTGACCCTTCATGCTGTTTAACTGAGAAACTTCTCTCACTTACAGCAAGTGTATCATCCAAAGACAAGGAGAGAATCTCTTGCACTTGTCATCACTCAGGGAGGAGAAACAGTGGCTCCCATTTCTTTAAAAGAGTTTGCAATGGAGAATTTCAGGTAAATAAACTGTTTTTTTTAACCATCCAAGTTGTGGGACAGATATTTGCCTTCAGATCCAGTCAGTAAATAATAAAGCAGCGACACTCAGTTTAGATGTTTTATAGAACCTTTATTTGAAAGCCTGCTTGTTGTTTTAAACTGTGTTGCCTTTGTGTTTTTTAGGCAGACTAATAAAGAAGGTCGTCACGGTGCCAAAGGAGTCAACAGAGAGAAGCTGTGGGCATTTTCCAGAGAGCCTATCAAACAGCCACTCCTGAAAACTTTGGTTCACCGCTCTGACCTCAGCAGCCATGCTTGCAGTGCTTTCACTGATATCCTTTAAAAAAAGCATAATTTTAGTATTTTAATTTACTTCTGGCGTGGTTTTGTATACTGGCAGCCATTGTGTTGCTATTGTGTCATAGTAAGAAACATTTTTGAGAATATTACTATTAGTATCTGTAACATGTATATTTTAGTCCAATCTGGATTTTGATACATTCTGGAGGAGTCCTTGACTGTGATTTCCACCTATCTTGAAGTACATGGGCGACTACCCCATCAAGCACGCTCGCAGTCCACTAGAGCTGACCGACCAAATCTTTGGTCCTGCCATGCAGCATGTTGAACTACAGGATGAAATCTACTGCCAGATTATGAGACAGATGACTAGTAACAGCAGCAGGTGCTCTTAAGTTTGTATTGTACTGAATAAAAAGTAACAGTAGCTGACACATTCACTCTCCTCTCTTTCGGAAACCCTCAGGTTGAGTGTAGAGCGTGGATGGCAGCTGATGTGGCTGTGTTCGGGCTTGTTCCCGCCCAGTCCAAATCTGAAAAGACACGTGGAAGACTACATGGAATCACGACCCAGAGACCAGCTGGCTGCCGGCTGCCTACAAAGACTGCAGAATGTATGCAGGTAGGGTCAAAAAATTAAGTGTGCTTTTCATTCAGTTTTACCAGCTGTCAGTGGATGCACATAAGTCACATTACTGAAAGAATAGTCAGCATTGATAGTTCAGTGCTGGATGTGCAATTGTAAAAAGGCTCAAAACTAAATAAATAAATAGTTTTACACCAATCTGCTCTATTATTAGCCTGGCCCTTGCCTTCCTACATAGTTCCGCTCAATTCTAATCTCCCTTCACTGCTCCATGTGGGATTACTATGGAGCTAAATTGGGGTCATTTGTTTTGTTCAAGGGATTCAAGGGATCCATGATTAGCTGTAACATTAGACTTTATTTGTTAAACATATATTTTAACTGTAAAATAAAGACTAAAAGTTTTAAAATATATTACACGGATGGGGCCATTTTATTTATAAACAAAGCATTCTGGGTAAATGATGACATGGATAGGTCCTCGATGTGAGGCTGCTATGCGAGCTACAGTATATCCATCCTGAAGGTTAATCTTGGACAATATCTGACGATCGACTCTTTTAAATGAAACCAGAGAGCGTTGACAGAGAAGAGAAGGCAGAAATGACTCAGCCTGGAACTGAAAATATGGATGGAGGACAACAGAGCTGCTTCATGGAAGAAGAACCTCAGCTTAGCCTGTTATATTTAGCATTAGCCCCGACGCTATCTCGCCTTTTTTGATGTATTAGCTCAGCGCTACACATTCTCCTCTCGTCACTGAGGTCCTCCATCCACATGACAGAGAGGGGAACGCAAAAATGACTCAGCTGCAACTGAAAATATGGATGGAGGACCTCAGTTTAGCTTGTTTGTCGCACTAGCACCGAGCTAATACACATAAGACAATATAGAGTCAGCGCTAGAGCGAAGGCTCTATATTTACCCATTCACACAGCACCCTAATTTAGATAAATCATTCTATAGAGATGCAGTATTGATTTAATAAAGTAGTTGAAACACATCTTTACTCCTTGATTTCTTTAATAATATGATTGCATAGTTATGTTTTCATCTCAAAAACTTTACCTTCCAAGTTTCATGGTTAATTGTTATTAACTCTTTAATGTGAATGCATGGTTTTCTCTTAACTACCTTAGCCTAAATGAAAATAAGACTGAAGTTATTTTGTTTGGACCGAGTGGCTCCTCCTCCCCCAGTGTAGATCTTGGCTCACTGTCACTCCATCTCAGGGACTGTGTCATCAATTTGGGGATGAAGTTTGAGTCTGATTTTAAATTTGACAAACAGATCAGCGGTGTTGTTCAGAAGAGTTTTTATCAGCTACCTCAAATACCAAAGGTGAAATCAATATCAAGCAAGATCTGACCTGGAAAAATTAATCCATGCTTTTATCACAGTTTGCCTCGATTATTGTAACTCATTGTATGTTGGCATTAGTCAGACCTCTCTCGCCCGCCTGCAGCTTGTGCAGAACTCTGCTGCTGGCCTCTTAACTCAGACCTGTAGGTGTGAGCATATCACTGCCATCCTGGCATCTCTTCACTGGCTCCCTGTTCACTACAGAATTCAGTTTAAAGTGCCTGTGACAAGCCTATTCTTCAAATACAAAAAGTCAAAGAAAGCATCTTTATACTTAAGAAAATTAGCATAGTACACATGATTTTACCCATTTTGTCACATAACCGGCCTATTTTCTTTTAAATTTGGCTCAGCCAAAGTGAAACAGGAAGTGACATCAAAGGGGAACTCGTTAATAAAATAAACTCCCTGGTCTTTGTTTATTAAAACAATGTCATATAAACTTCAACTTTTCTTCATCTCTCTGTGATAGCAACTAAAAATAATCTAAAGAAACGTCAGATTCTTCTCTGTTTACATGCCGACATTCCCCTTTGACATCACTTCCTGTTTCTTCACATGCCAATATCTCAACAACCATTCATCTCAGCGACGTGAAATTTGTTTTGCAACATGTTATCAATGTTATCTTTCCAAAAATGCATTAATGTTTATTACAAAAAATTTGACGTCACAGGCACTTTAAGCTGCTGCTGTTTGTCTTCAAATGCTTGAACAATCTTGCTCCTCCATATCTATCTGAGTTGCTTCAACCTTACTGCCCACCCCGATCCCTAAGATCAGCTGATCAGCTGCTGCTGATCATCCCTAAAACTATGTGGAAACTTAGAGGTGACAGCATTTTCCGTTGTCGGTCCCAAGTTGTGGAATAATCTTCCCCTGAATGTCAGACAGGCTTCATCACTTCCTGCTTTTAAATCTCTTTTAAAAACACACTTTTATTCTCTGACTTTTAACACACAGGGATTTTGTTTTATATTGGCAACTTGTGCTCACCTGCTGTGACCCTGATTTGTGTTTTATGTTTCTTTTATTGTCTTAACTTGTCTTACTGTACAGCACTTTGGTTGCCCTTGTGGTTTTTAAAATGTGCTCTATAAATAAAGTTGGTTGATTGATTGATTGATTGATTGATTGGTTCATTGGTTGATTGATTGATTGATTGATTGATTGATTGATTGATTGATTGATTGATTGATTGATTGGTTGATTGATTGATTGATTGAATGGTTTTGCTCTACAGTAGGGAGCCAAGGAAGCTGCCCCCACATCAAGCCGAAGTGGAGGCCATCCAGCAGGACAGCACCAAGATCTTCTACAAAATCCACTTCCCAAACGACACAAGCGCTGTAAGACACATCCCTTTTATAAATTCTACCAGTCTCTTCCCAACAGACTCAATTGAGCTCGTCGTCTGTTTGGTTTGAATCCAACCTCGTTTCTCTCTGCGTGTCTGGTTTTGACGTTTGACTTTTGTGTTTATTTTGGATTCTTCTTCTTGGTATTGTTGTGGAAATGTTTATCTTCTTCGTCATCAACATCATCTTAAGATTTAGTTTGCAAATCTTCAGAACAAAATCTAATTTAAGAAAACCACTCCCACATCGTGTAAAATGTGAACCCACAGCCAACATCATGTTCAGTTAGCACCAAACCTGAACCAATGCAGTTAATCAGTGAACGAAAGCCTTCGAGTTGATTGACTGTGTGTCTGTTGGCAGCTATTAGAGGTATCTTCAGCAACCACCATCAGAGAGCTGCGTTTCAGTGTCGCCTCCCACCTTGGCCTGACCTCAGCTAATGGATACGGCCTGTACATGAAAACATCACAAAAGGTGCAGTTGGATGAAATTCTTGCATAGCTGTTTCCTCTCTTTATCTAATTCTTGGATTAGTTGTTAGATTGTACAATTAAAATGTATTTTACTGTTTCTCTTTTTCTAGTGCAACATTTTATCAAACTTAAGATGTGATGTAATAATCTGTCACAGAATGACTGAAAAGCTCATCCTCCCTGGGATGTCCAAGGACATATAAACATGATGTTTGCTTCTATCTTTTTTGCGTTCTGTAGTTGACCAGCCTCGATGAGGACAAGTATTTCTTCGATAATCTAAGGCAGCCCATTGAGCTTCCTAAAAAAGTCAAAAAAGTGAAAGAAGGTAATATATTTTGCTGACACTCTATATATAAACAAGTGATCTAAGCATTTGTCACCTGCTGCTGAAAAAGTCTAATACAATGAATAATTGTTTTGTGCCTGTGTGTGTGCCTGTTAGCAAAATCTCTCTTGTACCAAGTTTTAAGGAAACTTATAAAAAGTAACCATTGAATGTTCATCTACAACTCATTAATTAGGAGTCAAGGTGGCCGCCACAGCCAACTGACCTTAAAAAACAAATAATGGCTTTAACTTAATGAATTTTACAAATGTGGCATAGAATTTTGAAATCTTTTGAAATGTTCCTAAAAGGGGACGTATCATGCAAAATTCATTTTTTTAGCCATTAAATGTATTTTGTTGTGTACTTGGAGTCTCTAGGAGTGCAGAAGATTTTGATTTAGTCTCTCCCAGTGCAGCTAAGATGTCTTTTGGGTCATATTTTTTAAGGATGCATGACATATAGGCATTAATCAGTCCGACAAGTAAAACTGAACTGATATTAATGTCTGATGTTGATTTCCTGAGGAGGTAAGGGAAATGTTTGATCAAGCGGTATCTGTTTGATCATCATAGTGCAGCCAGGAATAAATCACACACAAACACACACACACACACATACATATATATATATCAGGGGTGCAACAATACATGTACCCATATCAAACCATATCGAACAGTGCTTTAGGTTCAATACACACTTGTATCGAACAAAACAGATTTTATAAATTTATTTCATCAACTTGTCTTCTGAAGATGCTCTGTGTTGAAGGATCAGTGGATCTGTGTTCGACTACTCCACCTAAGCTGCATTTTGAGCGCAGATCCACTGAGAAACTTGCTGTTTCAGCAACGTTTAATTTAAAAATTGTACTTTTGAGGTTAAACAAATGTTCATAATTAATTTAAATAAATTACAAGTTAAAAGGGGCATGGAAATTTCTCTGTTTTGTATCGAAAAAATATTGAACCATGAGACTAAAGTATTGAACCGAACTGAATCGTGAATTTTCTGTATCGTTGCACCCCTAATATATATATATATATATANTATATATCATTTGTACATTTGAGTAATATTGATAAACATCAGTTATTGGCTATAACGGCAATATTGAAAATGGATATCGGTATCGGCTAAAATTTTCATATCAGTTCATCCCTAATATTTTTCAGCCCATTCAGTTTTCTCAATTTATGATGATGTTTTCTGAACTATTACATCAAATTATTTTTGACGGAATTGCAAAATAAGGTCTGTGCTTACCAACTACAATTTTATCATCTTCATTCTCCTCTGGTTCTGGGTCAGACTCTGGCTCCAACGTGTAAGGCTGGATGAACAAGTCCTCCATTGTTGACATCTTTAAATTAATTTATAAATAAAATATTTCTGTGCTGCTAGATGGATGTCACCCCCTCTATCACACTAAAATGTACCGGTTTGGAAGCAGGAGGGGGGCGGGGTGTGAAGCGCCTTGTTTGGTTTTAAAGAGACAGAATCAAAACCAGCTGCTTTGAGACACGTACAGGAATTCAGACCAAAGCATTGCTGTTTCACTTTATACAGATCCCAACTGAATGATTTAAGTGTGCAAAAGGATATGATATGTCTACTTTAAATTATTTGGAGTCCACTCTGTCCAGGTGGATTTTAATGAAACTTCTAGAAGGTAAACATTGTTAATACATCTACAATTGGTTAACTCTCGGAGTCAACCAAATTCAAAATGGCTGCAACAGCTAATCACTGATATCCAATGCAAAATGACCATAACTCAGTCAATTTTACATAGAATAGAATAGAATAGAATAGAATAGAATAGAATAGAATAGAATAGAATAGAATAGAAACAGCCTTTATTGTCCCGCGCGGGGAAATTCAGGTGTAGTAGCAGCAGCAGATACATACATCAATCCACAGAAACAGTATGTTGCTATGTGACATTATCAGCTGTAGCAATAATAATAGAATTAAAGATAGTAGCAATAAAAAATGAACAGATCAAAATAAAAGAGAGAATAATCATTACTGTAACGGGCTATCAAGATGAAATTGAATAAAATAAAAAAATAAGGTAAGATATTGTGCAGAAAAATATAAATTGCGGAAAAACAATCATGACAGAAATTAAACCCAAACTTTGTGTAGAAGTAGCTGAGAGTCATCCCCAACACATGTTGTAATAATGCATGAGATTGTATATAACATTACTTTCAAGGAAGAAAGCTACATCAGTAAGGAGGATGTTGAATCCCGGTCCTCAAGGGCAGCTATCCTGTATGTTGTAGCTGATTCTGTGCTCCAACACACCTGATTCCGTGGTTGTTCAAGTTCTGCAGAAGCCTGTTAATCCCCCATTCATTCAAAACAGGCGTGTTGAAGGCCCATCCTGCATGGATAGTGGCCCTCCAATCCTATCCAGGATAGGGGTGTCCAGTGCTCAATCACCAGGATTGAACACTCCTGTTCTACAAATAAGGAATTCTATACCTTTAATTCAAATCTGCCTTTCTCAGGCAATCTGATCAGCATGCCATGCCTGGTGATGTTCAAGAGGAAACTTTGGTTCAATGTGATCCCTGGGAAAGACCCGATTGCAGATCTAACGTTCCACTTCCCACAGGTAAAAAGGAACACACCCTGCATTTTGATGGTTTTACTCATATTAGAGATGCCGAACGATCGTGACACATCTGGTTTTGGCCCGTGCAGGAAATGCCCAGGTACCTGCGGGGAGACCACGACTGCAGCAGAGAGGACATGATTACTCTGGGCGGGCTGCTGTTCAGAGTTGCGGTGGACTCCGATCGGTCCCAGTTTGTCATGATCCCCAGAATGTTGAATATGCTGGTTCCTGCTGACCAGATAGAACTCATGTCTGTTGAGGAGTGGAAAAAGGTCAAATAAAAGTTTATCAGAAGTGTAATTCATTTGTACGAAAAACTGAATTTTAGAAAAAGTGGCTCCAGTGTGAGCATTGATTTCACTGGTCTAATTTCTGTTTGCAGAACATCATCTCTTCGTACAACAGGCAGAGCGGCACGACTGTGCAAGAGGCCAAAACATCCTTCCTGAGACACATTTCAAGCTGGCCAACTTTTGGCTGCGCTTTCTACGAAGTTAAAGTAAGTTACGGAGATGCAGCGACAGCCACAAGTGTTAAAATTTCATTGTTAAACTTTTGAGTGTTGATTTAACAACCCCTAGTGTTATTTTAACACTTTCTGAGTAAACTGACTTCCAGTGTTGGTGTTAATTCACAGTGTTCAAAGCCCCGCCCTCTTCCACCTCATGTCAGACAGACCAGTATTTTCTCAGCAAGGGATGCTGGGTAATCTTGTAGAAATGATATGTTTGCATGTTTATGACCATTAAAGACGTTCATGAGAGTAAAAATTAGTTGTTCTGGTTAGTTTTCTTTTTCAGTTTGATCAAGTTGATCAAGTTTAAGTTTGTGTTATTGGCCATAAATCGAGACCATGAGTGAGTTGTACTTCCTGGTGTGTGAAGAAGGGTGACTCCATTATAATTTTGTACTAACTACTGAGTAGTGTTAATGCAACAGTACAAAGAGTTTGATTTTAACTCTGAGTGTTAAATTTACACCCTCAGGCTTATGGTGAATTGACATCTTGTGGTGTCTTGTTAACACTTCTAACACCACAATTTTCTTTGTTAAAATAATACCCTGGTGATACTTTTAACACTATATTTTAACACTGTTGAAATGTTAATGTGACGCCCAATATTGTTGAGTAATAAACACTGGCTGGTGTTACTTTTAACATTATATTTTAACACTAACTATTTTTATTTTAAATTTGCAGCAAACGTGTGAACCCAGCTATCCAAATCCTCTTAGGGTTTCCATCAACAAAAAAGGTGTAAGCCTCATAAACCCAAAAACAAAGGTATAATGACCCTGAATTATTACAATGTTTATTCAGATGGTAGCCTTTTTCACTTACACTGTGCTGAAAACTGTTTAGGGGCTGGAGGTGATGCACCGATTCAGCGACATCCTAGAATACAGCAGTAAAGGCAACGTTTTTCAGATGACCATCCGAACCCTGGTGGGGGGCATGAGCTTCGTTTGTGAAAGTCCTCAGGTGGACAGCTGCCTTTCAATATACTTTTACACAAAATCAAATTGTTTATTTCAGAACAGGCCTGTCTTGATTTATGTTGTCCATTAAATGTAAATGAACCCATTTAAAAGAACAGAATTTTTGAGACAAACCACGCTCAACATTTGTTCCTTTTCAGGCCTACACGATGGAGGACCTTATTAGATCGTATGTCAGGATGTATGAGGAAGAGAAGCAAGTCAATCGATCGAGATACATATTCTCCTGAGACTTCACTGGAGAAAAAGTGACTGAGCCGTTAAGGTTTATGTTCTTCCTAACTTTAAACCTTTTGTTGTTGTTTTGCATTTGTAATAATTTAATGACAAAACTGTATCTTAAACAAAATGCTTTATTAAAAGAACAGTGATATCCAAACTTTGTGTGTAATTCTTTCCATTTGTATTGACTCAGGTATAATTGATTCCTTTTGCCATTTATTATGGATCTATAAAATGAGTTATTTACTGTTATTCTCATAAAAATATTATCTTTTATCCCTAATTTTATCTCTAATTAAAATTTATTTCAGCTGTACAAATGAAATCCCATCATTCTGAAAATGAAACAAAGTGTTAGTCTAAAAATAATTACAATTTTCTTTTTTAAGACTTATGATATACACGTAAATGCACATTTGTTGTTGCTATTTTACAGTACGCATTATAAACAACTCACTTTCATTTTTAATGATTTGCAATAATTAAGTTGCATTCTCTACAAAAATGTGAACTCATTTTAACAAACGAGTTAACCAGCTTTGTTTTTATTCATAACAAATAAAGTCATGCAATATAGTCAGTCAAGTAGTAGACTGACTCACTCATAACTAACCAGATTGCATTACGTTAGCCTCCAGTACTAATGTAAGACACTTTATTATTCTTGGTCTATGTCTTTTTACTCTTTCATTAAAATATTACCTGGACTGCCTTCTTCCACCTGCTCAATACTGTATTTCTCAGCTCAGAAACCTCTCATCCAAAAATGATGCAGAAATACTGGTCCATGCATTTATCACTTTATTACTGGACTATTACACATTTTGAATCTTTCTTAATTCTTAATTATCAGGATGTCAAAAAACACTCATATTCAGTTGATCCAAAATGCTGCTGCTGATGAGGGTTAAAAGGAGAGATCATGCAGTGTTTCTCCAGTTTTAGCTTCTCTATTTGCTCTAAGGGAAATTCAGATTATAATTTAAACTTCTAACATACAAATCTCTCAACATCCAAGCTCCATCTTACATCAAAGATCTTATTGTTCCATGTTTTCCTAACAGAGCACTTAATGCGGTTTATTCATGGTTCCTAAGTTTCTAAAACTAGAATGAGAGGCAAAGCTTTTATCTGGCTCCACTTTTGTGGAACCAACTTCCAGTTTCTGACACGGTCTAAGTTCCCTTTTGATAAATCCTATAGTTAGGATTGGTTTGGCAAGCCTTGCGCTTCTACACTCACCGGCCACTTTATTAGGTACACCACGCTAGTAACGGGTTGGACCCCCTTTTGCCTTCAGAACTGCCTCAATTCTTTGTGGC